TGGCTTTCTGCATGGCCTCTGCTGACATCAGGAGCAGGTGATTTTGATTTTGATTCCACCAAGTAATGGTAAAATCACCTTTTCCAGTAGAACTCCTTGGGTGACAGCAGTAGTCTTGCTTTATTCCTTGGGCTTTTCTGGAGTGGGTTGGGTCAGTCCACAACATTTTGCTGGGAGAAGCAAGTTGTTAACTGCTTTGTATTGTCTCTGCCATCATTTCCTTTTTCTCTATCGAGAGAAACAAACATTTCTTTTGCTCTGTGCCACTTCACATTTTTAGGGTTCAGGTTCTTTAGCCCTTAGAGGGATGGATGAGGCAAAAGGACATTGGCATTTTTGTGCATCTTGATGTCCTGGCCTGGCTCCTTTTTTTTCTAACCTCCATGTTTGTGCTGGTTACTTTTTGTCACCCTGACTTAAACTAGAGTCAAATGGGAAAAGCAAACCTCAATTGAGGAATTATCTCCATCAGACTGGACTGTAGGCATGTCGGTATGGGCAATTTCTTGATTAATGATTGATGCAGGAGAGCCTAACCCTGGGCAAGTGGTCCTAGATTATATAAGAAAGCAGGCTGGGAAAGCCATGGAGCAAGCCCATAAGCAGAATTCTCTGTGACTTTTGCTTCATCTCCTGCCAGGAGTTCCTGCCTTGGCTTCCCTTGATGACCGACTGTAAGCCAAACAAACCCATTCCTCTCCAGGTTGCTTTTGGTCATGGTGTTTACCACAGCAACAGAAAGCAAACCAGAACTGTGTTATACACAATGTCTCAAATTTTGGATTGTAGTTAGTGGAAGGAATAGAGGAGATTTTCTTACTCCATTTTTCTGGAAGTAAAGTTACCACTCTATGTTTTTAAAGGCTTGCCAAGTGGATCTTATGTATGTATGTATGTATGTATGTATGTATGTATTTATGTATATACATCACATGGCACACATATGTATATGTGTGTATATACATGCATACATACATACATACATACATACATACATACATACATTCATACACACACTGAATTAAGAGTCCCTGGGGTGTCAGCTTATGTGTTTGTTAACCTTGATTGACAACTTGATGGCATTTAGAATCACCATGGAAACAAATCTCTGGGTGAGTCTGTGAAGTTAGGCTATGTTAACCAAGATGGAAAATCATCCTAAAGATGGATGGGGTCCTAGACCGAATAAAAAGGGGGGAAGAAGCTGAGCCTAAGCATTCATTGCTCTCTGTTTCACGAGTGGATACATTGGTACCAGCTGCCTCCAGCTCCTGCTGTGGTGCATTTCCCACCATAGTGGACTGTATCCACTGAGAGCCACAGTAAAGCCTCCTTTGAAGATTGAGTTGTTTTGGTTAGTTGTTTTATCACAGCAATGAGACAAACAACGAATAAATATAGTGTATAATTAGTTTCATTATAAATTACTACTGTGGAAGTTTAGAGCTCAGGAGAGGTTGGAAAGTAGTGGAAAATTTCCCATGCACCCTCCCCATCATACCCCCATGGCATCTCACACCCTGTTACAGCACTGTTAACTCAAATGCACTCAGGTTACATCAGTTTTTGTGTTACATTCTTGTTTTTCAATCTGGTAACAACAAAACATTTTTACTAAATCAATGGTGTCCACGAATTCTCTCCTTATTTCTTATTTTTGGCTTTACAGTACCACCCACATAATAAGCACCCTCCACTGAAAAGTAGGAACACTGAGCAATCTTTTACCGTTCCCGAAGTTCATTAGTGCAGTATATTCATTGCATGCCGAAGTGGGGGCCGAATCCTTGTGCAGCATGGCATGGAGTGTGTGTTTCACTTTCTGTGTATTCTGATGTTTTGACCTCTTAGACATCTGGCTCAGGAGTTCCTCCACTGTCGGGTTCTTAAAGATGGAAAAGAGCACAGCTGCAAGAGTATCTTTGACTTGCAAACCATCCATCCCAGAACCACACTCTTCCCTCTGGCCCTGACCCTAGGATGCAAAATTTCTTTGCTTTAAGCGTTTCAGGGCCACCTGGCATGTAGGGATCATCATTGCAAGTCCACTGAAATTACCCACCCCAGTTACCCTACTACAGGCTAGCACCATTTGTGGAACACTGGAGACCCCGAGGGTGCTTAGTGTGAGTTCTTCAGAGGCAGATCCTGAGTGGGATTCCGTGTGGGTTATTTATTTGAAGTTAAAGAGTAGGAGATGGGATGTAGGGAAGGGAAGGGCATTGATAAAGGGTACCATCTTGTATGTGAGAAACAGAACCAGAAGGATACATTGTATGCAGTCATGCATGATTTCACAATGCTCTGTCAATGGACTGACTGTTTATGGACAGTGGTCCTTTAAGATCCCATTGCCTAGCAACATTGTAGCATCTTAAGTTGGAAGGTGGTGTGCTCTGCAAAGCTCAAAATAGTGAGACTGACAACTGATGTAAGACATTCTTTTTTTTAGGTAAATTGTCATTTTTTTATTGGAAAACAAATATACAACTTGGAATGAATTTGAGACAAATTGTGCCATAAGCAGATTTTTCTTTAAGTGGCTAAACAAAGTTTAAAAAGCTAGTAACAATAAAAGAAAATGTTTCTGGTACAATACCAGCAGTACAAAAAAATAGTGTAGGAGCACCCAGATAAAACACCTGTTTTGCAATAGTGCAGCTTTTCAGTACATATTGTTGACTGTCCACAGTCCACACAGAATTACAACTCCACTTCAACAACAACATGCTGACAGTTCCTAAAAACTACTTTAAAAAAGGCATAACCCAGATGTGCCCTCATTTGAACAACTCAATCTAAGTTTAGATGTGCAGAAGGGCTTGGATATATCCAGAGTAAGCCACATGCAACATGTTACTTCATCAATTCTCTAAAGTAATGTTTAAGGACAATGACAGAAGTTAAGACAAGATAAGGCAAGAAAACATGGAGGAATCAAGTCCTAATTACTATTCATGCATATTTTTTGACAGTAGGGGAAAACCTCTTACATATAAGTTACAAACAAAGAAAAGGCAAATAAACAATTTTGAGCAAGAAATTTAACACATTCTGTACAATGTCTTCACTTTGCTGTCATCATTTGTACAAACCCTTCATAGTTTACCTGACCATCACCATGGAAATCTGCTTCCCTGATCATTTCATCCACCTCCTCATCTGTCAGCTTCCCCCCCTCATCTGTCACTTCTCTCCCAGGTTTGTCATCACATGGCGGAGCTCTGCTGCACTAATGTAGCCATTGCCATCCTTATCAAAGACACGGAATGCTTCTCTGATTTTCTCTTCACTATCTTTATCTTTCATTTTTCTTGCCATCATTGTCAGAAATTCAGGGAAGTCAATTGTGCCATTACCATCTGCACCTACTTCATTAATCATGTCCTGTAGCTCTGCTTCTGTGGGGTTCTGCCCAAGAGACCTCATCACAGTCCCTAGTTCTTTTGTTGTTATAGTCCCATCACCATCCTTGTCAAATAATGAAAAGGCTTCTTTGAATTCTGCAATCTGCTCTTCAGTCAGTTGGTCAGCCATGCTGCAAGGGCTACCAGTTTCCAAGACGCCAACACACAACTGCTCGGCTCGCCTGCTCCACTCGGACTAGTTCTGATATAAGACATTCTATGGTCTAGTTATTTATATTCCATCTATATCCTTTCATGCATGAAAGAATTCATAATCTACAGTTATCTGTATATGAAAGGAATGATAGATGATATAGTCTTATTTACTTATATTAAGGAGTTAGCTCATATGATATGATTCTGGGGACTGGCAAGTCCACTCTTTGTAGAGCAGCCTAGCAAGATTGGAAGCTGAGGCGGGAGGGCAGGCATTCCCAAGACAGCTTTTCTTCTTAGAGGCACATTAGTTTTCACTTTTAGTGGACCGTCACTCACCTGAGCTGGAGAGAGCAATCTCCTTTCATTGAAGTCATTGGATTGGAGATGTGACTACATCCACCACATACCTTCACTATCACACCCAGGTTAGTGTTTGATTGAATGACTGGGTGATACAGCCTAGCCCAATAGACACATAAAATATCCGTCACAACTGCCAAAATAGTGACCACTGTGGGCCTCTGGGTTTCAATGCCATGGGAACCTGGAACACACATTGGAATGATCCACCCATATGAAGTGATGGGCCTGGGGCATAATGTATCTACCCTTCTTGGTCCTTGTTTCAGGGCTAGGGACAGGAGGTAGACTAGATAAGCAACTTAAAATTCAAGAGGTGAGTGCCCAGAGCAGTTGGGAGGGGGAAAGGGCAGAACTTTTGCTTCAGGAGGCTTCTGTGAATGAAGGGCAGAGAGGAGCAGAAAGAGGCCAAGATATAAAGGGCCTTGTAGGTCGTGTGAGGGTTTGGGTCTCTACACCCAGAAGAGTGGAACATCACTACTCATTCTGTAGTATCTGAAGGGGATGGATGCCAATACAGGTGCCAAACTCCCAGGGTTGCTTGAGCTCCGTTATGGAATGGTGTGGTATTTGCCTATGACCTACAGACAATCTCTGTGTACTTAAACCATTCCATCATGCTCATGATGCTTACTACAGTGTAAATGGTTGTTTAGGGATCAGTGACAAGGAAACAAAGTCATCATGTATCCAGACAGTATCTTAACTTTTCACTTTAAGTTGGGTGGGTCCCCATTTTTTTATTGGAAAACAAATATACAACTTGGAATGAATTTGAGACAAATTGTGCCATAAGCAGATTTTTCTTTAAGTGGCTAAACAAAGTTTAAAAAGCTAGTAACAATAAAAGAAAATGTTTCTGGTACAATACCAGCAGTACAAAAAAATAGTGTAGGAGCACCCAGATAAAACACCTGTTTTGCAATAGTGCAGCTTTTCAGTACATATTGTTGACTGTCCACAGTCCACACAGAATTACAACTCCACTTCAACAACAACATGCTGACAGTTCCTAAAAACTACTTTAAAAAAGGCATAACCCAGATGTGCCCTCATTTGAACAACTCAATCTAAGTTTAGATGTGCAGAAGGGCTTGGATATATCCAGAGTAAGCCACATGCAACATGTTACTTCATCAATTCTCTAAAGTAATGTTTAAGGACAATGACAGAAGTTAAGACAAGATAAGGCAAGAAAACATGGAGGAATCAAGTCCTAATTACTATTCATGCATGTTTTTTGACAGTAGGGGAAAACCTCTTACATATAAGTTACAAACAAAGAAAAGGCAAATAAACAATTTTGAGCAAGAAATTTAACACATTCTGTACAATGTCTTCACTTTGCTGTCATCATTTGTACAAACCCTTCATAGTTTACCTGACCATCACCATCGATATCTGCTTCCCTGATCATTTCATCCACCTCCTCATCTGTCAGCTTCTCTCCCAGGTTTGTCATCACATGGCGGAGCTCTGCTGCACTAATGTAGCCATTGCCATCCTTATCAAAGACACGGAATGCTTCTCTGATTTTCTCTTCACTATCTTTATCTTTCATTTTTCTTGCCATCATTGTCAGAAATTCAGGGAAGTCAATTGTGCCATTACCATCTGCACCTACTTCATTAATCATGTCCTGTAGCTCTGCTTCTGTGGGGTTCTGCCCAAGAGACCTCATCACAGTCCCTAGTTCTTTTGTTGTTATAGTCCCATCACCATCCTTGTCAAATAATGAAAAGGCTTCTTTGAATTCTGCAATCTGCTCTTCAGTCAGTTGGTCAGCCATGCTGCAAGGGCTACCAGTTTCCAAGACGCCAACACACAACTGCTCGGCTCGCCTGCTCCACTCGGACTAGTTCTGATATAAGACATTCTATGGTCTAGTTATTTATATTCCATCTATATCCTTTCATGCATGAAAGAATTCATAATCTACAGTTATCTGTATATGAAAGGAATGATAGATGATATAGTCTTATTTACTTATATTAAGGAGTTAGCTCATATGATATGATTCTGGGGACTGGCAAGTCCACTCTTTGTAGAGCAGCCTAGCAAGATTGGAAGCTGAGGCGGGAGGGCAGGCATTCCCAAGACAGCTTTTCTTCTTAGAGGCACATTAGTTTTCACTTTTAGTGGACCGTCACTCACCTGAGCTGGAGAGAGCAATCTCCTTTCATTGAAGTCATTGGATTGGAGATGTGACTACATCCACCACATACCTTCACTATCACACCCAGGTTAGTGTTTGATTGAATGACTGGGTGATACAGCCTAGCCCAATAGACACATAAAATATCCGTCACAACTGCCAAAATAGTGACCACTGTGGGCCTCTGGGTTTCAATGCCATGGGAACCTGGAACACACATTGGAATGATCCACCCATATGAAGTGATGGGCCTGGGGCATAATGTATCTACCCTTCTTGGTCCTTGTTTCAGGGCTAGGGACAGGAGGTAGACTAGATAAGCAACTTAAAATTCAAGAGGTGAGTGCCCAGAGCAGTTGGGAGGGGGAAAGGGCAGAACTTTTGCTTCAGGAGGCTTCTGTGAATGAAGGGCAGAGAGGAGCAGAAAGAGGCCAAGATATAAAGGGCCTTGTAGGTCGTGTGAGGGTTTGGGTCTCTACACCCAGAAGAGTGGAACATCACTACTCATTCTGTAGTATCTGAAGGGGATGGATGCCAATACAGGTGCCAAACTCCCAGGGTTGCTTGAGCTCCGTTATGGAATGGTGTGGTATTTGCCTATGACCTACAGACAATCTCTGTGTACTTAAACCATTCCATCATGCTCATGATGCTTACTACAGTGTAAATGGTTGTTTAGGGATCAGTGACAAGGAAACAAAGTCATCATGTATCCAGACAGTATCTTAACTTTCCACTTTAAGTTGGGTGGGTCCCCAGACTCAAAGCCTGAGGGTTCAGAGGCCATGGTGATCAACTCCATGTACTTAAGAGATATTGGGCCAAGCTAGAAAGGATGTGTGGCTGTTTGTAAGAGGATGGGGTTCAAGTTGTAGATGGCACTGCTGGGGAAACAGAGGCAAACAGACTCTGGGGATGTTTGTTTAGGGCACTAAAGCAATATATCTTGGTTGTTGTCCTGGCTTACTGGCAGTGGAGCACCCAGCTAGGTATGGTGGGGTATGTGTGTAACCCCAGTTCTGGGGTGTAGAGACAAGTGGATCCTAGGGAATTCATGGCCAGACAGTCTGGCAGAAGTGTAGAGCTACAGGCTCAGGAAGAGACCCTGTCTCAAAAAATAAGGTGGAGAGTGATGGGGAAGGCTAACACACACTGACTTCAATCTCTGCATGTATACACATGGGCTTTTTTCTGTACACATACACACTACACACACACACACACACACACACACACACACACACACACACACACACAAATAAAATAAGACAATAAAATAAAAAAATCTTTAAAAGGGCTGGAGAGATGCCACAACTGTTAAGATGTATTGCTCTTACAGAGGACCCAAGTCCAAGTCCTAGCACCCAAGGTGGCTCACAACTGCCTGTAGCTCCAATTTCTCTAGTCTCCACAGGTACCTCATCCTCATATGGCATACACACATGATTAAAAATAAAACAAATCTTTAAAAACAAGCGGACAAACAAACAAACAAATCCCCATTTTTAAATTTCTGATGCTTCAGTGTGGATCAGAGAGCTCAGAAAGCTGCCTACAACCAGTTTGACCATGCAGATGACCTCACCACAACCTTGGCTGATGCCTGATCTGTTTCCACATCCTAGGATGCTTATTGCATAACCAGAAACCTCCTGTTGAAAATACAGCTGGAAGATATAGTCAGTGGAGGGTAACGGTGGAAAACATTCCAACCTCCCAGCATCACGGGGAGACCTGGAGAGCAGGGGACTGAGAAGTCATGCTCTTGAAGCCTGTCACCTTGAAACTGATGCTTTTAACCCCCAGGACTTCGTTGTCCCAAACATAGGATGTTTCTTAAGTTCACACCTGCTTTTTGTGTTATATTGTGTTTTGTCCACTGTGTGAGACAAAGGATGGATTTACTTGGTGGGGGTGGGGAGAAGGGGTGATGGGAAGAGGAAGGGCACATTAGGACCTTGCTCATTGTCCTTGCTTTAAAGAAAGCAGGTGTGCTGAGAAGGCACCAGGTGCTTCCCTCCTCCCCTACCCCCACTCTGCGAGAATCTTCCTCTGGCCCAGGTACAGAACCAGAAGATGGGGCTAGATCATTATGACCAGACCATGCAAATGACAGGAAAGCCTATCTAGGCTTCCTTTTCCGTTGGTGTGCCAGAGTCCAGGCTGCAGTTCTGTCTATCTCTCAGGATATACAGTTATTCTCAACCGAAAAGCTCAGGGTAGAAATGAAGGTGGAGTTGTTCATTACCCACACTGAATGGTTCCACCATAGACCACAAGTGGTCTGTGTGGAAGACAGAATAGCAGCACCAAAATTTACCCAGGTCCTGATCCATGGGACTTAGGAATATGTCACAAGCAAGGAGAAGGAAGGCTGTAGAGGAGAACCAATCAATTGACCTGGAGATGGAGATTTATCCTGGATCATCCAGGTGGGTGCAATGGGGTCACAACTGTCCTTAGTGAGGAAGGGGGAGGGAGAGGAGCTAGAACCCAAGAAATGACATCATTAGAAAGAACAACC